TTCTCCTTAATTGCCAAGTATTCCACTGGAGATGGATGGCCTTACTCGGTGCAACGTACTTTTCACAAAAACAATGACACAATTTTATGTTTCCTCAATTAACATGGCATAGGGCATATAGAAAAATCCAATTCTTCTCGTTCTTTTTTTATTTTTTTTAATACATAAATGGAGTCATTTCGTTAATTCGAATTAATTTGAACTCGAGTATCTTTCGAGATTCGTATTAATTTCAGTAATCAGCGCTAATCCTCGCAAAACCACGAGCTTAATCTCAATTCCAGCGGCCAATAATCACAAAGGCATAAAAACAAAAACAGGTACAATCTATGCTAAAAACAAGAATGTTGCATGGACGTTTTATTCGAAATACAATAAAATAATAAAAGGTGCACATATACATATAACCCACACCACGGTAATTTATATATTTATTAATAACAAAATAAGAAGTGGACAAAAAACAAAAAAAAAGGAGAGAGGACCAACATAGAAAGCACGTATTTCTTGAATACGTTTTCTGTATAATTTAATTAAAAAACGTATTCCATGAATACGTTTTTTACATTTTTTTTACAAAGGAACCCGTATTCATGGAATACGTTTTTCAAAAAAAAAATTTAAAAACCGTATTCCTTGAATACGGGCTTTCTATTATTTTCCACCCTTTCTTTTTTTTTTTTTTTTGTCCACCACTTTTATTTTTATTTTTTTCCCGTAAAAAAATCCCACACCGTGGACTTATTTAATGGCGAAAAGAATCTAGTGGCCAAAAATGTTAGGGGATGAGAATTTAATTTATTTTAGTGAAATAATTAATTAATTGGCAGAAGCTGACAGGGAAGCTATGAAGCTAAGTTGATCCCTTTCGTTTAGGACAGATATGAGTGGGTCAAACCCTTCATTAGGGCATAGCCAATGTGTTCTTATATTAATTATAACCATGTTACATCTGCATTATTACAGACTTCGATATGAAAAGGACTTCAAAAGAAATAAATAAATAATAAAATTAATTAAAAGGAGTAATGTGTGTTCACACACAGCTCACCTGGACTGTGTGCATTGCAGGACAAAGGAATAGGCCCAACGAAAAAGCGCATCAAAACTACAATTATTATTATATATATTAAAATAGTGCTGCCATAGAATTTGTTGATATGATTAAAAAAAACATGAGTTAGGAAAGCAGTATGCGTGACGATCGATCGATCGACGATCTCGATCTCATTCTCTCTAGGTGTTAATTAATCAACCTACATATTA